ATTTTGCAACATACCATTTACATATTTGACACACTGAATAATCAGGGCGTTCGTGAAGCACCTTGTATTTTAGTCTCCATTTGAAGTATTCATTATAAGCAGTGTTATTGTTGTCCAGATTCTGAAGGTACGCTGCCAGTTGTTTAACAGTTTTGAAGTCCATAACATTGATATAAGACCCCGGAATAGCCAGCTTGGAGTAATTAGCACCTCCCATCACAACTGGGATGACATTCATATCACCTGGAATAAAAAAATAAAACTAATCATGATCTAAAAACTACCAAGCTGAGCAATATTTAAATGGCAGATGCCTATGGCTGAAATACTATTTACTATATTAAAGCGCCTGTATCATGGTTCGTAGTCTAGTCAAAGCGAAGGTAAATACCGGTACTTGCAAAATCAAAAAAGTCAAAAAAGGAGAAAAAAAGGAAATTTGAAATGCTGTTAAGCTAACAAGTTTTTAACAAGAGCGAGCCCATACAAACTGAGTGACCCTTCATATGTTTAAACTGGGTAGAGAAAAATAAAGGCTTTTTTGCCTGAAAACTCAAAAGGTCTCATTCTTGTAGCTGAAAATGGCTAATTTTTAATTGCGCAGATACGCTCAGGTAGGTTTCAAAATATATAACGCCAAACCCTTCAAATCGTTAAAATTCACCATTGTTTCCTACTAAAAAAAAAATATAGCGAGTTTTAGCAACTACGACGGCAACGATGTCGACATTTTTACTTAAAAACTAAGGGAAATCTTGCTGTTTGAAACCTCATCGCTCTTACTCGATCTCGTTCAATCTTCAAATGTTGGCTGCGAATTTTTCTGGAGTTAAATTCTGTATATCAAAGCACAGAACTAGAAAAGAGAAATACAGTCGAAACTCTCCTTGCGACCACTATCGTGAGCGGCAGGCTCTGTTTGCGACCACCTTTGTGACACCCAGTTTGAACTGTGACTTAGGCCCGGTTCAGACGTCGAACTTTTCATGAGCCGAACCTAATTCGAATTAAGGCCGACCCATATTATTAAGACCGGCTGAATTGATTCTGACGCCGATCTTAATTGCAGCCGAACTAAGTTCAAAAGGCGAAAAGTGCTCATTTCGGTCAAACTGCTTACAAAATACGTTATAATAATTTATGCATTAAGTTCGGCACATGAAAAGTTCGGCGTCTGAATCAAAGCCGTTCCTAAGTCGCTCTAAAGCAAAATTTCCGGCCGAGCTGGGCAAAAACAACGGCCTAGCCGTTCCAAATTGAAACAGGTGTTCGTAATTGATTCAGACGCCGAACTTTTCATGTACTTAATTCAATGTATTAGGTTCGGCTCGTGAAAAGTTCGGCGTCTGACCGGGCCTTAAACTTTGTAATGAAAAGCTCTGGTAAGCGACCGTTCCCATAAGTGACCGCGATAATTTTTGGGATTACCTAACTGAACTTTTCCTTTGTTTTTAAGCTTTCGAATTCCCGAGGTGGTCGCTTACGAAAGCTTCGACTGTATACAAAAAGCGTGATGTGCAAAGTTGTTTTTCTTCCGCGTTGCAATTCTCGTTGCCGTCGCCGTCGCCGTTGCTTACGTATGAATCAGCCAATGAAATGCACTCTTTGTGTATGCAAGAAGAAACTTGAGGGTCTTACCAAGCCTTCCCCAATATTTTTCAGTGATGTAATCCTCACATAAAGCGTTCTCGAATGCCAGATAAAACTTAAACGTTTTAAGGCAAGCAGTTAGATTTCCACAACCTCTCTGTTGCCCAAATTTTCCTGAACACCCTCCAAATACATCAACCTTGATGTATTTTTTCAGGTTTTGGACAAATGCCATTCGAGGTTGAGCGCCACAATTACCAACCATCCAAGCCACAAGTTCAGTTTTTCCTTGGGAATAGTCCGGTATGTTTTTCATTTCATTCATTTTTTCTTCTTCACTCAATTCCTCGTAACTTCCATATGGCGACCAGAAATCTGAATCGCTTCTGAAAGTCCACGTTGAGTTAAAAAGCCCGTTTAATGGAGCAGGATTTGGTGTTGCATTTGGACTTTCCCACAAAGCGTATACCCAGCGCTGTGAAGTGGACCTGTTTTTCAGCAGCGTTCTTAGATGATCTACACTTGGCATGTCTCTAGCGTGAAACACGACTAAGTCGCTTTCCTCAAACCGCCGTTTGTCGTAGGTCAATTCGAAATCACCTGAGAGACATTTATTTGCGGCAAATAAAAACTTGTTTTCAAATCCACAGTTATCATCACGATCTCTTATCCACTTCGTCGTCCCGAAAAATAAGGTATAGATGAGTAAAAGGGTCTTTGTCCCTCCCGGTTGCGTGAGCTGTGAGTTGGTTATGGTAGACATCGTATTCTTGTTTATCACCGCGTGTAGGTTGTTTCCAAGCGCCGAAAGTATGTGGTTTTGCATCCACGATTTTACAGTTTGCTTTGAAAACTTATCTCGTTGGATATCGATTAAAGTAAGCACGACAAGAAAGAAAATGGCGAATCCAGAGGAGAAAAA